TCTATAGCTCTTGTGCAGAAGCGACTAGCCACAAATCATAGGTCAGCCAAGTGGCTTATCGCGTGCAAATTTTAAAGCAGCCAAACACTCTAAACGAACGTTTCTAAATGCGGAGGGAAAAACCCCGGAGGACCCAGAGAAAAAATCCACGCGACCACGGGGAGAGAGACGCACGCAAACTCCAAATATACAGCAGGCGTCAGGTTCGGGATCGAACCCGACGCCCTCCTCTATACTGGGCGAGAGATAGCTACCATTGCACCACCAGCGGCGTCCCATACACTGTTGCATCACCTCCCTCGCCCGCTGCCGGCGTAGTCGAACGGGCGTCTTTAATGTCTGTGCGGGCCATGCACGTGGCTCCGCTAACACACGAGCGTTATTACGTGGCTCGGACAACTACGGGTGATGAGCGAGCGAGAGCGAGCGAGCGAGGCCGACGGCTGTTGTAGCCAGGACACCCGCGACAATTCCGGGGAAGAGAGCCGGCGGCAAACGCGAACGTCGGGACAAGATCACCTGAGAGAGAGAGAGTGAGGGTTGGGTGGTGTGTGTGTGTGTGTTGGGGTGGGTGGGGGGGGCAAAGAATCGTGACAGCACATATTTATGAACGATTGCCAAGCTCGTGAGCGTCGAGTAATTTTCACGAGCTTGCAGATTTCAGTTGTGTTTGATGTTTTCAATAAAGGCAATCGTAACAGCCGGCTTTATACGCGTGTAGCATATGTAATGCTCACACCCCCCCCCCCCCCCCCCAAAAGCACTTAGGTTGAAAGGAAGGGAATATTACCGATAGTGTACATACATCAAAAAGCACGTGACTTGGAATACATTTATTTAAGATGTAAATTCTGAAGCGGTATCTGCGATAATGAGTAATATGTACAATATTAAAGCATCCCCCGCCTCCCCCCCCCCCATCTCATTATAAGCATTGATGTTGTGGAAGCATGAGCGGTGGTGTAGCGGTTAACGCGCCGCGCTAGCGGGAAATATCTGAACCGGTCCTGTGCCTACCCTAGGTCAACTCAGCCTAAAATTATTACCTGGTGCGGTGTGTAGTAAACATCGCCACTGGGGGAGACAAAAGCCGGCCGGGCGTGGTGCTGGCCACCCACCCCCCTCGTGTACCGTTCCGGCCTTCATAGGCGCTCGCTAACAGCACTTGCCCCTACAGCCTGTTAAGGCTATTTGTGTTGTGATTAGCGGTGCAGCAGTTCGCGCACTGCACTACAAAGCCCGCCACGTGCATTCGATTCCCCGGTTCATGGTTGCTAATGTCAGCGTGGGAAAGTGATATCTGAATCTCAGCCTCAAATCAAGAGTACCATCGCGCAGTGCATAAACATAAGACCACACCGCTGTTCGCCTTGCCGGCATTACTTCATAGGGGCTCGCTGACGGTCCCCCCCCCCCCAAACACGCCTATGGCAGGAGGCTACAATCCGTAACGCATGTGGTTCAGACCTCGTGTTAACTGAAAATGGGGGATCTTTCTCTTTTACTGGTCATGCGCGTGTTCATTTGTACGTGTGTGTGTGTGTGTTGCGTGTTGTGTTTCTTGTGTATGTGTGTGTATGTATTTGCGCGTGTCTGTGGCGAGCGGTGGTGCAGCGGTTAGCGGTACGCTGCGTGACGAACCCCCGGCTACCCCGGGGTTCGAGTCGTGCTCGAATTCCCTTTTTTTTGCGTCTTCGATGGGTGAGCGAGCGCTGTGAGAGCGTTAGGAAGGAACCGCGCGTGTCCGTGTCACGGCAGATGGGAGTTGACGCGCAGACTTGTCGGCATTAGCATACGCCGGTGGCTCGCGTGGGCCGGTGATTAAGTTGGCGTGCGTGGGAGAGGGGATGGCCCTGGTTTGTTTGTGCCCGAGACGCGGCAGCAGCTGCGTCTGTCAGCTGTCGGCCCAGACCCGGCGAGCAGAAGAAGCGTGATGTGGCGGCGGCTCTCTAGTGCTGTGGGGTGGTAATATAGGGGGGGGGGGGGGTGAAATGTAGTGTGTGTGCGTGTGTGTGCGCGTGTGTGGGTGTCTGTATGTAGTGGAGAGCGGTGGTGTAGCGGTTAGCGCTACGCTGCGCTACGAACCCGGCGACCCGGGTTCGATTCCCGCTCACGGCCAACACCCAGTGGTGACGATTATCTGAACCGGTCCTGGGACTCCCCTAGGTCGACTCAGCCCTCAAATGAGTGCCTGGTGCGATGTGTAAACATCGCCACGAGGGAGACAAAGGTGGGCGGGTGTGGTGTTGGCCACCCCAGCCCCCGTATGTGCCATGCCGGCCTTCATAGGCGCTCGCTAACAGCACTTGTCTCAACAGTCTATTAAGGCTACACGGGAGATCTTTGTTTCGTCTTTGTGTGCACGTATGATTGGTACGTATGCGTAGTCGTCATATCGTTGACACCTAAACACGTGCACAAAGAGTGTGTGTTAGCCATGCCCGGTTTACACCATAGGTAAATATCTGTGGCAATTACTTGAACCACGTTCTGGGCTTCCCCTTGCTTGACTCGGCCTCAATGAATCCCTCGCGTGGTGCGTTAAGATCAGCACTTGGGAGACGAAGGCAGCTGGGTAGTGCCGCTGGCAAGTCTAAGCCCCTCGTGTGCCATTCCCTGCCTTAACGGTTGCTCGCTAAACAACTCTTGCCCCAAACAGCCAGCATGGTGACACACTGGCTATTTGCCTTTGTTGATAAGTATACTCGTTTGTCGTGCGCGTGCGTGCATGCACGTTGTGTATGCTACATCGTAACGAGTCACTGCGGTTATTCAATATTTTTCCTCGCATGTGTATGCTGCAAATGTAAATGAAACGGTGAATAAATGAACCCACGGAAGGATGAATGGCTATGGTTAAGAAACACATGGATAATAAACTGAACGATGGAGTATTAATTCCGTTTAATGGCGTGATCGCGCACTAATGTGGAAACATTAGTGAGTCGCATAGCAGCGGTAGGGAAGGATGTACAGTAATGCAGAGTTATTTTTTATTTGTTTCAGTAATGCACTGTTATAAGGCAAAGGTCTTCTCGCAAGTGCATCATTGGTGTGGTGCTTTTTTTTTCTTTCAAAATAACCTTCATCAATTAAAAAGAGAAAACGAATCGTTTTGATTTGTTTGAATGTGTTTATATATGTGTGTGTCTACACGAACACCATCACCTATGGGTGGCTCTTGTTTGCCCTGCCCTGCCTAGAGGCATGGAGATGAGATGACGACGATGAGGATGATGATGATGATGATGATGCTCATGTTTAATCATGAGCCGGTGGCACGATCACTCTTCCGTATTGACCGATGACTCGTAATTGTCCAGAGGAATGATACATTTTGCCAACACGCTCTCACTCCACTCGCTCAATCTAACAGCGCACGTGCGCTACCCGTGTGCCGGTTTCTCTCGAAGACTCGGGTTAACACGTGCGGAGTTGTACAAGAAGACATAGCTAGCACAATGCTGACAAAGTAGGTCACCTAGATATATATTTTTTATTTTTCTCTGTGAGAATTCTGCGCCGGACAGCTAATTTAGCAAGTTGTGCTGATTAATTCCTTTGCTGTGTGCGATTAATTTTTGTCTTTCCAAATGTTTCTTGTGCCACGTTTATTGATGGAGGCACGTAGCTTTTGTAAAAATTGGTACGTCTAATTGAGAGTAACTTTTGATATTGAGCAATCGTCACCACGCTCTTGCCATACTAAAATTAACTCGACGATTTACATAATTGCGTAAAAAAAAAGACAGGTCACAATGGTGCATCGTAAACTTTTTGTTGGCATCGAATGATCAATTGGTTTTCATCTGTTTGTGAAAAAAAACATCCTTTTAGATCGCTCTTCGAAAATGCATTAGTGCTCCTTCAAAGGAACATTGTCCATGCTTATTGACCTGGCCATTGCACAACGTCACAGCGCTGCAATGTGGCATTGAGCGGAGACGGGTCAACACCGCGCGCGCGTGTGGTCTCGCTTGCAAAGTGAGTGGAGGAAGCTTCCATCGCTGTGATATTTATTAAACCGCATTGTATCGATCATGGCTCGGGCCCCGTGGAAATGAACGTTGCAAGTCACAGCGTTGCGCACCGCCGCGGTAATTTGACCCCTCTTGCACTCTCGTGGGAGGGACAGCCCAAGCTGGTGGAAATGATTGAATGCCGGACAGCGTACAAAATGAATCCCCGCAGCTCCCGGTCGCGCGACGTTCGGTGCTCGTGGCGTGCTGACAATGGAGGCTCGTGGCTCTCGCGCCGTGCGGCTCGGGGTGGCTCGTTATGAATTCATTCATCTTCCCGGGAAGGCGCGTTCTGTTGATCAGGGCTACCTGTGCATGAATAACACATCTTCCCCCCCTCCCCCCCCCCCATATAAGAACAACTACCAAAAAAATCCCCAGCGTGGGTTCACAGAGGGCTCAGTAACCCCTCAGTCATCTCCCGCTCTCAATTTGCCGAATGTCGGGTGCCATTTCCCTTTGCGGTCGACGGCAGAATCTTTTTGATGTTTGCTTAAATTGTCACTTTGTTGTCCTGAAGAACGTTTAATAAATAGCAGAAGCTCCACAAATCATGTGCAAGCATCGGTGGGATTTATATCATCTCCTTGATCTCTCGGGCAACTTCACACAGACAAATTGAATTTTTTTTTTCCTCTCTCCGTGAAACATATCGACCAAAATTTATTTCGGAAACAATTTTCGCTTGTTTTATTTGTTTGCTTTGCTTTGCTTTGGAGAAGTTATTTTCTTCTTTATTACTTCTTTAAACCTCAATGAAGCACAACAAAAATTAAAGTGTTCATCCCAACGGAGGCCAGTTTGCCGAAACATTGCCCGCTCTGTATTTTCTTTCTCTCTCTCTCTCAAGAAGCTCGCAAACTCCCTTTTAATCCACTTGCACATTTGTTGGCAATTAGAATTTTTTTTTTTTTTTACTGTGAATAAATGCGCTTGTTTGTGCGCGTGTGCTTGCTTCTCCGTCTCTCTCCCTTCGTTCAGGGCAACCAGGAACCCACGGCCCCTCCGGAAGCCATGGCCCAGCCTTACGGCGCCACGGCAGGGCAGTACGCGCCGCCGCAGAACGGCCTCCCCGCGGAGTACGCGCCGCCGCCGCCGCCGCACGCCCACCCCCACGCCCACCCCGTGCAGGACTATGGCGCCCAGCCGGCGCTGCCCGAGCACGCCATGTCCATCTACCCGGCCGCGCAGCCGCACGGCGACCAGGGAGGCGCCGGCGAGCCGCCGGGGCAACCCGTGTCGGCGACCTCCACGGTGAGCCCACGGCCGGTGCTGCCGCTTTGCTTGAGCGAGGTGCGGTAAATACGACCCGGGGGGGGGGGGGGGGGGGGTGGGGGTGGGGGGGGGGAGGTGTGGGGGCATGTCATGGGAAAAAGATGATGAAGGATGTCTCGCGATACCGGAATAACCCCCGGGAGATGGGAGAACTGGTATTCGAGGGGTCGTGGGTTCGAGGCTGACCCTGACGCCTGTATATTTGGGGTTTGCCTGCCTCTCCCCATGGTTGCGTGGATTTTTCTACTGGTCCTCACGTTTTTCCCTCCAACTTAGAAACATGCGTTGAGAGTATTTGCCTGATATAAATGTCCACGTGATAAGCCACTTTGTCGTTGGGCTGTCATTTGTGGACAGGTCGCTTCTGAAAAAAGGCAATATAGCCCAGTGAGCCCTTTCCTGGTAAAATAAAAAAAATAGTTTCGTTTAGTTATAAATATCACTCCCGTCACTGAGGTTAGCTGCGGTCGGGAATCGAACTCGGGTTGCTCGGTCCATAGCACGACGCGCCAACCACCATGCCAGCACTCCACCATCGTCGGGACCATGAGTGTGAATAATATCGGTGCTTGAGCACGTGCACACGTGCTGGATACGGTGATATACACAGACAAGCGATGATGTCACTTGATTGTGGGTCTTGCAATCCAGCAGGCATAGGTGCTGTTGGCAAAGACCGTAGAGTATGAGGTCATGGTAGGGCCGCCACCACGCACGCCACCTCTGTCTTCCCATTGCTGATTTTCTCCCGCACCGTGCCGAGACTGCTTTTACGTTCGAGTTGACCTCGGCATGGCCCATTGCCATTTTCGGATGCGACCTGTCAGTCATGTTGGCCGCGGCTGTGACGTGAATGCCGGCCACTGGAGTTGTGCTGCAGCACACCGAGTGCTGTGTTTTATCGGCCCTCTACGCGTGCACCCACAAGCACACACACACACGGGGCAAGGATTCCCCCGCCGTAGCCTCTTTGGATCTCTCGCAGAGCATTGCAAACCCGTTCCGCGGGAGGACGCTCCACGGAAGCGGATATCACAGAGCTACCTCTGAGATTCCCTCAGCTGACCTCTGGTCCATGCAGTAGAGCGGTCGCCAGGTTCCTAGCGTGGCACTTACCGCGCGCGCCGCCGCTCCCCACCACTCTGTGCACACACAGTAACTTGTGATCCCCAGGGAACTTAAATTACCTGAACACATCCATACCTCTCTCCTCGGACCTCGGTGTTTAAACACTATGCTGGGAGAAAGCCCTCAGCAATGTGTGGATGTTAAGTTGATTAATTATTTGTTCTTCCCGTGTGTGGCTCACTTTTACGGCTATAAACTGGACGAGGACCTCAACGCAATGAAACCGCATTTCGGCGCCAGAGATGATATCAAGTTTTCAAATATAGTGTACTTGCCACGGCTGCCAGTTTTTCAAATATGTTATATTGTGTTTTGAAATTGTCTGCTGCAGAGGTTATGAGCTTTGAAAATATTGGGATTAGAGTGAGTGTGCCGGAGCTGTTTTGTGTGTGCGTTTTTTTCGTTGCCCTTGGGAAGATTGATGTTTTAGGAAAATGCAACGAAATGAATAATATATTAAGCAGCAGGGGAATGCTGACAGCTTTGGCCCCTGCAGCCGATTGACCGAAATTACTTCGTTTGTGCTCTTTTTGTAAGACCGTTTTGTAGTTGAAATGTTGTCAGAGGGCCGGCGTTTTGTTAGGCCAGCTTTCGGTGAGGCCCTGCAACAGAATTGCCATTTTTTTTTCTTCCTTCCTTGCCCTCCCCTGAATCCATGGGACTTGTGTGCCTCCGTCTATTCACACGGATTGATCTTTTAAGATGTTAGCGCTTGGCAAACTACGCCAGCTTATCAATCAGTGTATTGTTTGGATACAATTAACCTGTTCAAAGATATCTTGGCATTATCCGTGTTGTTCTGGGATCGCGGGTTATTGCTTGCAGCTACCTCGATGCGCTGCGCGCGAGGAGGGAGGTGGTAGCGGAGTTGGGTGGGGGCGTCCGAGGTGTACGGCGTCCGCCCGCCCATCCTCTTTTTCACCTGCCCCCCCCCACCGCCCCCCAATAAGAAAAATCCCTGCGTTCGTCCTTAAAAAAAACAAAAGTGCGGCTTGAGTGTGTTCAGAAGGGTATCTCATCCCCATTAGCTGGCAACCCGCCAGGGGCTGGCCATCGTGTAATCGGGCTTTTAATGCGGGAAGGGGGAAACGATTTGCCGCTGCTGACGGCCGCGCTTCAGGAGCGGAGCGTGTGAGGGCAGCCCCGTGCCGGGCATGCGTTTTTTTCCTCCGTGGTTTATTTGGAGCCTCGGCGTGCGCCCGCGTGCGAGAGCGGTTCCCCTCCCTGGCGAAATCCGACTTTGTAATTTCAGAAAGCGCTGCAGTTGGCGCCACCCGTCACACCCCGGCACCCGATTTAGCGCTGCTTACGACGGGATTCTTTTGGCGACAGGGCGAGCGTAGAATTTAGGGAGGGCAGCTCAGTGACTGTTTGCTGTTGGAAGGATGTGAAAACAACAAGAGGAGAGAGAGAGAGAGAGAAAACAACAAATAGATTTTGTTTCCCTTAGCTAATAAGATAAAGTCATTCCATCATCTTTTTGGCACTGATAAAATAGGTACCGCTTTGTTGGGGAAGTCTACAGTAGTTGTCCTATGGATGTACTCGCTCCCACCATAAGAATGTCTAGTTTCCACCACTGGTTCATGTTTGTAAACACAAGGTGACCACCACCTCAATGCTCATTTGAGCAGGAAATCCACTTTAATGTTGCCTCTCAAGAAATACTCGGGAAATGTTTAGTTTTCTATCCACCGTTACTTTCTTTGATTAACCTTTTTGTTTTAAAATGTTTTGCTTATGTTTGACTCTCGTACTTACAGGCAAATTGTGGAGCCTGATTTATTAACGTTAGGGCCACAACATTGATAGATCACGCTCGATTTCATAACGGAAGATCGTAATGCACAATTTGGGGGGGGGGGGGGGTGGAATCTGAACGTGCATCTTAAACATGCGCAGAAAAACTACCGCGTTCGTCTGGTTGCGGCCAAGGCTCCGTTCCATACGTCCCCCGTGAAGCAGCCGAGACCACACTCGCCAATGCAGAAATCAGGTAAACGCTCGGCAAGATAGATCGCCAGACCATTTCTCTCCAAGACATCGGTCCGCCTCGGCATACTTCTGAGGAGGGACAGCTTCCCGGTGGTAACAAATTGATGTTGCCGAAGTGCAGTCTGCAAATCCTTTACTGCAAATTGTTATTGTGATGATGATTAGTATTATTTTAATCGATATCAATAATAATCCTGCCTGAAGTATGATAGTAATCACATGGTAAGCTTCAGCGTCTCCCTTTTTCTTGTACGGTACCGGATATACAATTGTTCTTCGTGAAGCAACATTTTTTATTATTAATTTTTTTCCGATAAATGTTAATAATAATCATCATTTGCCGTGATCCATCCATTAACGATCAAGTCATATCATAATCCTTTTAACTCCTGCACACGAGCCGGTCCCATTGCTCCATGTCTCCCATGGCTGTCGCCTCATGCCACCAATAGTTTTCCTTTAACGTCCGAATGCCACAATTTTTGATGAAGTAATTAATTCTACTCAAAGGAATTAATGTATTACAAAAGTATTTTGTCAATGCCGTACATAATTTGTGAGTAAAAAAAATACACTCGATACCATTTATACTTAAAAAAAAACTCACCGTTTTTTTTATGAAAATGTATCATGCCACAAAGTCCCTATGCATCTTTTTACTGAGGCCATTTACAAAATAACTTGCTCAGTCCTAACGTATCTTTGAAATCTCACCATTATCATTGAACACAACTTGTTTATCACATATGCATTTCTTACTATCAATGTACATTTATGAAAATGAAATTTAAAAAAATATATATATATGCTCCTGTTCCTAAATATACTGTCAACCCTGCTACCAGAAAAAAATCCCCCTGCAGAATTTTGGTTTATTCACAGAGGTCACATGATGTCCAGCAGCATGTCACTTTATCATAAACGAGGAAGATAACGTAAACCACTTCAGATGTGTATCTAAGCAGTTTGTCACATCTTTTTTTTAAACTATCTTGTTCTTGGGGTACATATTGTACTTCATAAATGTCAACTATGTTGCATGAAGTTAAAATGGAAAAAAAAAAAGAAATTGAAAAATGTATTAATAGTTTCATCATAAAAAGCCTTCAACAGCAGCACACCGTGTGCTCCCATGCTCTTTACCACTTGGGAAATTAAGGCCAAACTTTGTTATGTAAGTCCACCCTGTTACCTGTCAACTCTGTTTACGTTTTGAGTGTAGCAGAGTTAACTTGATTGCACGGGTGTAGAAGACACTTTATTGGTAGAATGACTCCATCCTCTCAGGCACGTGCATCCCTTTAGCTGCCATTTCACCACCAGTCTCCTCCATCGTCTCTCCGTTGGCAATGTGTCCTGCCCAAGCCCACTTGCTAATTTTACCGGTCGATATGTTGTCCCTAATCGTGTTCGTTCTCTAACCCATGTATCGGCGCCGCGGTGGCATGATGTTCAATACCTCGCCTGGTATACAGAAGGTCGTGGGTTCGCTCCCGAGCCTGACGCCTAATATGTTTGTATTCTTGGTTCTTTCGGTAAAGTCACGTTGAAGGGAAACAATAAAATATATATAAAACAATATTTATATTTTATTATTTTATTGTTTCCCTTCAACGTGACTTTACCGAAAGAACCAAGAATATGAATCACTGCAGTCACGAAAGCTTGAAATCAAAATTTATATATTTGTAGTTTGCATGTCTCGCTCTCTCTCTCTCTCTCGCCGTGATTGCATGGGTTTTTTCTCCGGGTCCTCCCAGTTTTCCCTCCACATTTAGAAACATGCGTTTAGAGTATTTGGCTGCTATAAATTTCCACGTGATAAGCCACTTTGTTGGGCTATCATTTGTGGCCCGGTTGCTTCTGAAAAGAGCTGTATAGCTCAGTGGGCCTTA